AGAGAGTGTGTGTGTGTGTGTGTGTGTGTGTGTGTGTGTGTGTGTGTGTGTGTGTGTGTGTGTGTGTGTGTGTGTGTGTGTGTGTGTGTGTGTGTGTGTGTGTGTGTGTGTGCGTGTGCGTATGTGTGTGTGTGTGTCACTGCCATCCTGTGGTGTACAGGTAACACTGCTCAGTATCTCAGGCTTGAACATGGCTTTAATTCACTCACACCATCTTGTACAACATCTTTCAAGATATTTGGCTCTCCTATATAAGATGCCTTACAGATGGCCTCAAAGCGATAGATCGTTGGACAGTTTAAAGACAAAATGTAACATTCATTTAATTTGAGTTTTTGTACATAATGTGTCGGAAGCATAACAGTTTAAAAATGCAAGAATGTGCAAGAAACAAAACAGGCGTATACAGCCCATCTTCAGCTGAACTTCCCTGTTTCTGTGTCGTCCTTTTTTATAATATTAGAAAAAAAATAGCAAAAGGGAAATGAACACTGCACGCATTCTCACATTCTCTCAAAAATAAAAGCAGGGTTAGATATGCTAAATTTAAATATATATAAAAGATGTAGAAGAATGGCATCTGTCTCTCGCTTATTGAATCACTTCTTCTGCCCAATCGTCTCATACGTGTCCGTGGCGTGGGGAGTCAACCCCTGGAAGGAAAAAAAGAGTGGGGAGATATACATATAAATATAGTATTTAAGTATTTTTTAAGGATTCAGCAATCCCTCATTTACTTTACATCATCACAGAATCACAACGTACCGTGTAGATGCTCTCTTCAGGACTCTGTCAGGGAGGAAAAACAGCAATATTAGACATATTTCATAAAAGATAACTCAAAAGAAAACACACAGTGTCTTTCTTTGGCCACGACTACATATACAGTATGTCTCTTCACACATCTTTGTAAAGAGGAAGAACAAGCTACATGCGTGCCAGAAAAGCTCCACACACCAGATCTGTACACTTCAGAGTGTGTGTTTGTGTGTGTCGAGGCAGGTTTGTGGTTGGTAATGGGAAATAATACACTTAAATAAGTACAGCAGTCAAACAGCAGATAGCCCGCTCTTTTCAGCAGCATGTTATCAGGCATTGCAAAAACACATCAGCCTAAACTGTCAAACCTATATATACAGTAGTGTAGGCTATCAACACTAGACACAATACAAAACAATATAAAACAAAGAAATGAGTACAATATAATGTACCAAGTGTGCAATGTACAGTATCTCAAGTTTATTTATATAATGCAATGAGGTTGAGTGTGAGTATGAAAAGCTCTATCTCTGCATGCTAAGCAATGTAGTTTCACATACAGGAACACAACTATAACACATAGATGTTTCTATTAAAGCCATTTAGCCGCTGGTGCAGAGCTTATCTGGCCGCAAACAGCTGCAAGTGTGGGGCCGCAGAAAAAACCATAGGTGTGTGTTTCCTATCGCTGTTTGCCTACTGAGGTTAGACGTGACCAGTTACGTTTATTTTTGCCTCCACAGAAGCTCTGTGTCTAGTTGTTCACTGAAACTCCAGTAAGTGCTGTGGTTAATTGTGTTCTGAACATGTATTTCAGACAATGAGCCATCTATTTCAACCACACATGTACAGTGTGTGTGTGTGTGTGTGTGTGTGTGTGTGTGTGTGTGTGTGTATTTTTACCTTCTTGGCCGGCTTGCCGATCTTAGCTTTAGCCAGCCTCGCATTGTTGACCTTTATAGACAGAGTTACATTAGTGAGACACACGTCACACTGTAGTTTCACCGTCCATTAACAGTTGTTTAGTCGCTCCAAATTGTACTCTCTTGGTACATTAGGTGTCGAAAGCAAAGAAGTCTTATTTCGGTATAGCAAAAATATTAATCTGCCACAATAAACAAATAGAAGTGTTGTATGCCACTACATCAGCATATATTCTGTATGTATTCTAAATGTGATTGATACTTGTTCTCCCTTTCTGAATGTGAAGCATGCGTCATGTTGCTGGATTACTTAAAAAGTAAGTCATTCAGTTCAAAATATAATCTGTTCTTCCATATTAAATACATCTGATGTACAGCATGGGTGGTTCTAGTGGCTAGTTACACGGAGCTTGGACCCCCCTGTGGCCCCCCTCCAAAAGAATAATATCTTCGATAATGCAATTAATGTACAATACTAAGTTACTGTGCTGTAACCTGGGATATGTCATTTCAATGAGTTGAAACTGAGTTACTGACAAAATGTTGTGACTAAAACTAATATTAACAAATAAGCTAAAAACAGAGTTTGGCTGAATAAATCATGTATTTATTACCCAAAACTTCTTTTAATGTTCGGTATCTTGAGACAAAGTAACAACAAAATAAAAAATAAAAATTCTAGTAAGTCATTGACAGGTACTGTCACTAAATCAAACATCAATAATGGTATTTTATGTTTTTTGACATGTGGTTTGACTTAAAATCTCCTTCTTCCTGCATTAAATGTGCCCCTCTCATTAAAAGTATTGGCCCCATCCTGGCCCCCCAGTGAAATAAGTCTAGAACAGCCACTGATACAGTATAAATGTGTGTGTAAAGGCAAGTGTGTATCATTCAAACCTTGATTCTGCAGTAGAGCGCCGTCAGGATAATGCCGTACAAAAACAGGATGCCATCCAGCACGTAACACACATATGGTTCTGTGAAGGCAGCTGAGGAAACAAAGATAGTTACTTATATTAATTCATATCCCTTCCCCATATGTTACTATACAAAATAATTAGAAAAACACCATCATCATCAAGTACTTCCTCCAAAAGGTTAGCTTAACTATTGCATTATTGTTTACTGTCATGTTGGTTCTCCTGTGAAGATGGGCGCTTGTTTTTCTGATTCTCATTTACAAAACGGCATATTGAGTAACTGTGGCGTCACAATCTGAGATGGTGAAATCAAAATGGTGAAAAATGACATGTTTACAGTCCATACTGAAAAACTGAAACGTTGACTTTAATTAAATGTATTATGTCAGCAAATTTCACATAACTGTATTAGGTTAGTTGAAAGCAATAATATTAAGTTGAACCTATTTAAACTTAACATTAATGCTTTCAACTAACCTAATACAGTTATGTGAAATCCTTTGACGTAATATATTTAATTAAACGTTTTAGTTTTTTCAGCACAGGGTGAGATAGTTAAGATAGTACAGCCATGCAAACAATAGCGGAAATAAAACACTTCTGCGAGTCCCCAGTAAAAGTAGCGTTTGAGTTTCAGTTAATCAGCTCATCAAGGAAATGTAATTAAAAAAAAGTTATCTGTTTGCAACACATCAGAAGCAATCTCATTTTAAGCTGTAATGAACAACAACCGCTTCTCCTTCTGCAGCGTGTAATATTGAGTCTGGAAATTGTACCTGCATAAGTGCTTTTACTAAAGGCAACGGGAAGTCAGCTTTTAAAGGCGTCTAATTCACACATATTTTCTTTATCCTTTGATCACGGAAGAATTCACTGCAGATAAGCAAATTCCTTTCAAAGCAGTAACATAGGGTCATGGTTTGGTGTTTCTGAATACATACAGCGATCTTCTTGAATATGTTGGCCTTGGGTTTGCAGGTATTGAATGAAAACATCAAGTGATAAAACCGCTTGATTGTATAAGACTGTAACTTTGAAGGAAATGATTAGGGACTATGTCGTTAGTTCCTCTCCTCCTGAATTGGGTTTTGTAAATATGAACAATGAAGGCGGGTGATCCCTTCTACTTGTTTTATTAATGATGTTTGGGGCCTTAGACCATTTGGAAAATATCATAAAAGTTATTAAATTATCCTCCCAATTAACAATTGTTAAGATGTTAGTTAGATTTTTTATTTGCTTGAATTCAGGCCATATTCCACCTCCTAACAGACAGCTTTAATATTGACTGTTTTCATTAAATGACCATTCAACTCCCCTAAATAACACTTTAAATAAGCGGATCGAAAGTGTCAATGTTATTGAAAAACTAAAAACACATTTGGTGAGATCAAATAAGTATGAAGAGACACATCAAATATAATAAAAACTCTCAAAAAGACACTGAACACAGACACTGTTATTTGGCACATTTATGGATTATTGTATAACTTTTATGGACCTTTTATGAATCACAGTTCAAGGTCATTTTGTATTTACCTTTTAATGGGCTTTTATGGCACATATTAAGTGGGGTATTTCTTTTTTTTATTAATTACATGTATATCTGTAAATCATGTAAATCTGTGATCACATGATGGTTTTTCACCACTTCCAAATCATGTTCCCTTTTCAGAGTATCGCATGATATTGACTGGTATTATTGGACATTTGATGTGTGGTGTATTATCTAGCCTCCATCAGCATCTCTTTTGGTTTCCGCAACTCGCGTGTACTACAGCTATGAGGAAACAGCCAATCCTGTATAAGCCCCCTAAAATAACCAATGGACTGATAAAGAGTGACTCAAAATTCAGTATTTGTCCGAACACTTTAACCGCCACTCATATCCTACAAGCAGATCTCAGCGCAGTTTCAAAGATGAGAACTTCTGTTTCTCACGACTCTCACGACACTCGGCTGTAGCTTAATTTTAAATACAATTTTTAATTGGGATTTATTGAATGTGCAGTTCTAATGTGTTGTTACGAAGGCATTTTAGTGGATAGAGGAAACATGATTTGAAAGTGAGAGCTCTTTTTTGAAATTCTACACAACATTAATACAAGTGGTCAGGTGAGGTTTGAAATTAAAGCAAAAATCTATTTTCAATAAATAATGGTCTGTAAAACGTCAGAAAAAAGTTTTCTTGGAATTGCTTCTGTCAATCTGAACACAGTACAAAATCCCTGAATTAGTTAAAAGTAAATTAATCAAATCCACAAATTTGAGGAGTGGGAACCAAAACAAATACTTTAATATTTTTTCATAATAAATGTTTGAGTGCTTCAGCGCTACTCTATTTACCACACTTTAACTTCATCTTGCCTATTCGACCAAAGAATGTGAACACACATTTAAGGGCTACATAGGTATGTCTCATTGTGCGTAGACATGCGCTGAAAATAGTACATTTGGTTTATTTTCTATTATTTCAAAAAAAATCTGCGTTTCACCGTTGTTGAGCCGATAAAGTTGTGCATATCGAAAATGTTTTTTTTTTAATGTCGCCATCTATAATTACTGAATATATGTTGCAAAATAAACACAATTTTTTGAGGAACAAAAAAAAAAAGGGAACTTTTTGGGCAGAGGCAGGGTGTGCCGAGGTCTGCGTTAACATATGAAGTAGTTTAAAAAGTGGTCCACCTCAGCGCCATGTTGCCACAAGAAACAGAACCAACAGGCCCGGTTTCCATTTCCTCAGGAACTGCCTACACTGAAGAGAAAGGCCAAAAAAAACCTCACTGCTCTAAATGAACACCTGCCAACATCAATGTACAAACTAATTGTGGTGTACAGCAAAAACATCAAAACTGGGTTATCTTCACACTGGCTACCTAAATAACCAGTTTCTGTTCAAGCACTGCTCAGTTTTAGGGTTTGTAGCTCCAACGGAGAATTCAATATAACATCTTTAAGTTCAGTCTATCCCAGTTTGGTGTCACAACTCACCGGCTCTCCCGAAACACATCCACAGACTGATAATGAGTAGCGGGCTCCTGTCCCCCATGGCCATGTTTCCAGAGGCTCGACACGGACAACTGGGCTCCTTCAGTGGCCGCACTAAACCCGATGACTAGTGGGTAGTTTCTTTTTCTCTGTGCTGGTGAAAACTCGAATGTTGCGTACCTCACAGCCAACAGGGGAAGTTGTGGTCGGAGCTATAAGTCCATCTGTCTTAGATCTCATCATACCCCTCCCCTTTTACCACCAACCAGAGGAAGGACAAACATAGAGGTTGCGTCTCTGCTGTCATGCTTAATAGTTGATTCTCAGTTAAGTCACGGAAATGGAGAATTTGAAAAATAAATGTTTAAAAGATTATAAATCACACAGTTTGCTGTCCAATCATAAAATATTTATTAAGTGTATTTGTACATCACTGGTTATTAGCAGAGTCATCTCTCAAAGCCTCACTACAGCAACAAGTGAACAGGAAGAGAACATGACTAACAGAGGAGTGAAGAGGAGAAAGAATCCTCATCTTTAGGGAACCAGCACGCTAACGGTCAACTTCGCCAAACACGATGTCCTGTGTACCTGTTAGAAAAAAAAGAAAAGGCTCAGTATAACTTCATACAAAAGCTAATACTTTCTTTTATAGTATCGAGTTGAGAGCTTCTTACCAATAATGGCCACCACATCAGCCAACATGTGTCCTTTGGCCATTTTATCCAGACTAGCCTAGAGAAGAGAAGAAGTATTAACAGAATAACTACTATTCAGGGCAGCTCTTAGAAAACTGAATATTCATAATTTAAAAGATTATAGCCTGGAGTTAATGCACTAACTACTCTAATAGTTTGTTTATGCAACTTTAAAATACATCTTAGCCTTGAAGACCAAAATGAAAATGACTGCGTTAAACATTAGCAGGAAGGACGGAGAAAGTGGGGGGGCTTTTAAAAAGCTTCTATAGTACTTTATAAAATCCACTTAATGAGCTAAAAGTAGCCTTAAGGACAAGCCGTTAAACATGCTAAATAATTGATACCCGGTGTGTTAATATTTCACGGTGTCTTGTGAAGTTTTGAGTGCGTACCAAGTGAGCGAATCCGGGAGCTTTGATCTTGCAGCGGTAGGGTCTGCTGGAGCCGTCTGAAACCAAATACACACCAAACTCCCCCTGCAAGACACACACACAAACATAAATACCCTGTAGTAAGCATATCCCTTAGGGCCGTCAAAGGCTTCACAATTAATTAAGACTCAAAGAAGCGAGTGTATACAGTACGGATCTTCAGAGTGCTACCCTTTTAAGGTTAACATCGATTTGCTCCATTAGGGCATTTACTGATGCACTTATACAGCCAGTCAAAATACGAAAATGTGGTTTTATACACATATACATTTATGGGGTCTCTCACCTTGGGGGCCTCCACAGCTGTGTATGTGGCGCCTGGAGGGACCTGGTAGCCCTCTGTGTACAGTTTAAAGTGGTGGATCAGAGACTCCATGGAATTCTAGGACAAAGAGCACATGTTACGTCTCAGCAGATGATGCACACAAACATTACAGGAAGTGATCTCAGAACTTAAGGGCGGCCAAATTAAGGTGCTTTTTATTGCAGAAGTGGCTTACTCTGTAAAGATGACAGTGTGAAGATAACACAACTGACATTTAACAAACACATAGAAGAGAAAAGGGGAAAGTCCAAGCAAAAGATCTTTTTTACATTTGCGTAATCAAAGCAGCTTATAGGATGGAATGGGAAATGATATTGTGCAGGGGGGGGGTTAAGGTATCCCCACTCCAGCTCACCTTCATCTCAGACCTCTTGGGTGGGGCCACCTTGGCATCGTCCACCTTAATCTCTCCTTCTGGCATCTTGTTGAGAGCCTGCAGCATGATGCGCAGCGACTGCCTCATCTCCTCCATCCTGCACAGATACCTGGACCACACGCAGATAACACAGTCAGCTACCGACTCTGATAACACATGTCAGGAAATCATCCACAGATTATGATCAACTTCAAGGTCATTCTGTAAATTGGGGAGGAGTTGATCACACAAATAGACATCGTTATTTCTCATCATTTGCTCCCAACAGCTCAACTCAGAGCCATTTCTCAACATCTGTGATAAGAGAACTAAACAGGAAAGAAGGCGCTGCCTATGCTGCATCAATGGAAATGCTTAACCAGTAACATTCAACTTTATCTGCAGAAAAACTATGATTTATTTACATATGGTGTCCGGGGAAAGCCATAAAATACTTTCTGATAGACAGGGTGCCAGAATTGAATGTTCAATATGACCTACTTGCGGCAGAATTGTACATGTTGGATCAAAGCAGCTGCTATAAAATAGCTATGACATATCATCGCAACTCTTATGTCGGACAAATATCTTCCTTTTCACATGAGTGTTTATTTGTAGATTAAAGGGGCCCTATAATGCTAATGTTCAGTTTTATTATTGTATGTATTGTCTCTACTGTGACATGTCTCCATGCTTTAATGTTCAGAAAGCTCTTTATTGTTTTCATACTGTCTGTGCTGGAGCACCTCTTTTCACCCTCTATCTGAAACCAGGGCCCAGTCTGCTCTGATTGGTTAGCTGGCTGGCTCTGTTGGGATTGGTCAACCGCTCAGAGATGTCCCTCCCCTTGGGGGTGGGACATCTCTTGTTGGAGCGCTAGCCAATAGAAGTCTTTCACCTGTCATAGCAGTCTCCGTTGCTTCCGATGGGGATGTCGAACTCCACCTCGTCGTACTTGTCGTAAGGCTGAGATTTCCTCAGGTCCCACTTGATGCCTGACCCGCGCAGCATCACTCCACTGGGGGGTGGGGGTGGAGGGG